CGGTTTCTCTTCTTAAAGTATCCGAAACTATCCTTATACCATCACTCTTATAAAGGTATCTTAAATTAATTATGTACCACCATTTAACATTGCGGTTTCTCTTCTTAAAGTATCCGAAACTATCCTTATACCATCACTCTTATAAAGGTATCTTAAATTAATTATGTACCACCATTTAACATTGCGGTTTCTCTTCTTAAAGTATCCGAAACTATCCTTATACCATCACTCTTATAAAGGTATCTTAAATTAATTATGTACCACCATTTAACATTGTGGTTTCTCTTGTTAAAGTATCCGGATACCTTTATAAGAGTGATGGTATAAGGATAGCTTTTAAATGGTGGTACATAATTAATTTAAGCATTGTGGTTTCTCTTGTTAAAGTATCCGAAATTCATCCTTTGCCATCATTTCATATTACAGTTTCTGTTCTAAATATAATTAAATTCACTATCTAGCATCATTTCACGTTTTCTCAAAACTTTCTAAGCCTAACATGAAGTTTTTTGGTTCAAATGTATTTAGGTTTCCGTCTGGCAATATCGTTACTCACCTTCCCATTATCCACATTTAAATTTCATCCCAATCACCTCTTACCATCATTTTGCTTCTAACTCTGTTAGTTTGCGAGATATAGGTGAAAAGTATTGTTGCTGATTATTACTTGATGTTGTTAGTGATTTTGTAGTTGTTTAAATATGGAATATTGTTATTGATCTTGTAGTTGTTTAAATATGGAATATTGTTATTTTGTAATTTTTTTGCTACATTTTCCCGATTCCTTTATTTATTGAAACAATTATCAACCTTGGTAGTTATGTTGTATTATTCATTAACATTAACACGAAATCTTGGACAGGCACGTATTTATTAACTGTGTTTTTGGTAAGTGATAAACTTTGCATTTCAATCGTTTGAAAGTTTCGTTTTGGATTTCTGTTTTTCAAAGTTTAACGTATTATTTTTTGTTCGACTCCAGTTGCAGCAGCTGTTCGTTATTAGTCCGTTGTAACGTGTTCTTTGCTTTCAGATAATGTAAATGTGAAACTTGTTCACTGCTTTTAAAGCTGCCGGTAGAATAAGTATTGGAATGCATGTAGAAAACTGTACTGACCGTAGCTGTATTTCCTGTGGTAATATATCCACAATGAACAACGTTAACCACTAACCAGTCCCCGTACAATAATGGATGAAGCTAGTAACAGTAAGATATAAAAATAAGCACACAACGTTAGCTCAACCTACTGCACCATATCCGTTTCTTTTTGTGTAACACAATAGATCACTAGCTTCAAATCTCACAGGGGTCAAAGGTCATAACATTATATCGACCTTTGAGACAATTTTAACATAAAAATCAACTACAAGTTATATATCTAACAACTAGAAATAGCTGTTTGCGGTTTGGTCGGGTAAACTAACTAAACAATACTTAATATTTCATGTAAGCAACCCATAATGGACAATACTTAACATTGTCTTATTCCTGGGAAAACAATTTACAACCAAAATTTCGACTTTTCACCTACTTCTGGTTACTAGGGTTACACATTATTACTGAATAATAATTCATTCTGGAGCTGTTGTGGGTAAACTATGTTGTCGAGAGAGTACATCGCACGTAGCCTTTTGTTATATAGTGTTATACGTTGATCTTGTAGTTGATCATTCTAAGCTGTACACCATACGTTACTCGGTAGTGATACATAGAGGGCTAGCATTTGTACACAAGTACAGAACTATCTTTTTATATAGCCTAAGATTATAGACATAGTTTGAAATAAATGTACGTAATCTTTGATGGTATTAATTAACCCTGCACTGCTGAAAAATGTAAATTCGAATGAAGAATAAAGTAGAATACATGGAGATATGTAGAATAGATATAAAGTAGAATACATGGAGATATGTAGAATAGATATAAAGTGGAATACATGGAGATATGTAGAATAGATATAAAGTAGAATACATGGAGATATGTAGAATAGATATAAAGTAGAATACATGGAGATATGTAGAATAGATATAAAGTAGAATACATGGAGATATGCCTAAATAATATACAGTAGCGCCATCTTTATATTATGAAAGATAAAAAATTGCCTGGCGATACTTATACACCACTAACTTCGCCCTACACTCTTTCAATTTATTTTCTACAAATATATCAAGATTTAATTATTCTATAAATTCCTAATTAACACAGGAATATGTTTCGACCTTTATGCTTGAACTTGGCCTTTCACAAAAACTCGTTTCATGAAACCACCAACATTAAATTTGGGTTAAATCGACAGTTACTTTTTAAATTTAACAACAACTTCGCAAGAATAGGCACCAACGTTTGCCCGACTATGAAAGTGTGATTATATACGTTTTACACCCCACCCACTCCCCCAAAAAAAACCTGAATAAGGTTATTATAATACACGCTCCGCGACTATAAATCAACTTTTAAAATGAATATCAGTTGTACCTGTGCCAAGTTTGGTTCTGTTCACTTAGCTCGTACAAGCACACACACACACAAAGTACTCTGGTCACTGGTGTATATACATGTATGTATTTTGATCAAAGTGCATTAGAAACCTAAGGAATAGATACAAAGCATCTACAAGAAAACCAGTAACGTACAAATGAATGAAACAAGCTCCACATAAATTCCAGAGATTGACTTGGCTAGAATAACTGACTTTCCAAACTTTGAAGTAAGAGGCAAGTCTGCACTTAGATGGGCTAGTCGTCTAAAAAGTAATGCTCAGTATGGTGCGACAAATATTGGTCCCTAAAGAAAAGGGGGAAATTGTTTTTTTATGCGTAGTGGGGCTGACAACTCCCACAAACTTTCAGCTGAGCAAGATACTCGTGCAATTAGCGGCCACTTAAATACAAGCTTCTACCAATGTTTAAGATAAAGTGCTTTGTGACCAAACTGTTTGCTAAGCAGAAGCAACAGCGAAAAACAAACATGTTTAACCACTTGCCAGGATAGCACTGCACAACAAAAGTGCAGGGAAGATTTGTGCCAGTGAAAACCTCTGATAGCTTGGACTAGGAATAGTACTTCCGATTTGTCAACATTGATGTTAGACGCGAGGCGTGACCAAGATATACAAAGGTTGTTACTTCGTCGTTTCACAGAGCTGTAAAGAAATTTTTGGCATTTCAAAGGAAGTCATTTGGTTGATAGCACACCCACCTAACACTGATGAACCATTCACAACAGAGCAAGAAATTCGTAGCATATTTCGTTTATTTATCTTAGCAATACAGTTTCTCTCTTACGAGAGTCTTATACCTAATAAAAACCCATACACTTTATAACGGGATATTTTCCCTGGACAAAAGGTGAAGTACGTTTTGGGTGGCAGAACAAGAAATTCCGGGTAATTATTTCTTGGGAGTGTTCCACACATCGTTCGATAGTCCTGAATCTGTTGTATTCAAATATGTAACTCATATTAAAGTAACTTACTTCGTTAGGGAGTTACGAGCAGCCAAATATACACACGGTTTCGAGAGTGGCCGCACCTCCTTATCAACAGTGGTCACACACATACAAGATGATTATCCCTTTCGGGATTATCAAATCAGATTTTGCAACCTTCTTTCATTGTACTGTCTCTGGTCGGAGACCTTACTCTTGATCTTCTGATCCAGCAGAAGGCTACTACTATCATTACTGTCCTTGTCAGTACCTAGTTTTGAGTATCGCCACAGCATCTTTGG